ACAAAAAACCCTGGAACTGAGATTAAGAGAATAAATATAATATGGGTGTTCAAAAGATAGCTTATGTTACGTTAATCTGAGCTTTCTTTTTTAAAATTATTTATTTCTGCACAAAAGAGTTGCAGTAAACTTCATGTCTGAACTTGTAACTTCTCTTGTGTAGCTGTAACAGGTAGTTTTAGTTAAAGTGTTAATTTAGTTAATTCCCATAATCAGGATTATGGGAAGTATCAAAGGGGTAAGAAACTGCCTAGAAGAGCTATCAGGAGAGAATTTACCCATGGAATTCTTGAATAATTGATTTCTTAGCAAAATTAGTTAAAGGTTCAAATGCATAATATGCAGTGGTAACCCAAATTCAGGAAGTGTGGACCAGAGTAAGACTGGAAAAAGGTGGCTCTTCCAATTCAAAGTAACAGGAACCTTTATAAATATGCAGAGGACTCTGTTTCTTGACCCCAACTGCTTCTCAGAAAGATAGGACAGGCCTCTCCATTTTGCTCTCCAGAATATCAAGATTTAAGAGGCTTTTTTCGTTTTAATTATTTCAGCCATAACCCCATGTCAAAAATAAAGCAACTTGAATCGAGAAGCAATGTAACTGCATCCTTATGGTGGTGTGCTTCCACATTAATTAATAATTTCCCCTGTGGCACTACTGTGCTGCTGGTGGTTAATTAAGTCCTGGGAAAACTGGCTATACCAGGAAGGCTTCTGCAGGACCTGTGCAGGTTCTGGCAGCAATGTCATTAGCATGATGCTGCACTTAAGCTAATACGACTTGGCAGACCTAAACAGCTTGGCCCAAAGCCACTTCGGGGATGTTTGTATCTGTGGCATTGTCCACCCACAAACCTGTATAATCCACCTGCAGACAATGGACCATCTCTGGTATAATCAAGAACTGGAAGGCCTTTGTAGCCAGAGTAAGAGGAATGAGGTGACCTTGAATGACACGGTGTGCAGAGTTGTATATGTGGGGACTAACAGCAGAAAATTTGTATTAAAAAATGCAGATGTTAATGCTAGACACGCCTCTCAGAAATCCTGTTCAGAAACAGAATCTAGTCAGAAACAGAGGAATGTGCAAAGAAAGGTTTTCCATTTCTCTGGCTACAGCTAGTTGTATTAGCTATATACAATATAGAGAGGATTAGAAGCAGTAGACTTGTTTAGCCTAGGCAATGAACTATGAGGGAAAAGTATTGTTCTATAAACAGTAAGAACAACTTCTTTCTGGTAAAACCCAGTGTTAATACAAAACCAAATGCGTTAAAAGTCTTTATTGTGGTTATTTTGTACCCACCAGAGGGTTTAGGAACAGCTTTCTAGTGTGAGCAATTGATGCAAAAACATTGAGACACCTCTAATACAGCTTGCTACCCTTATTGAAGGGATTATTGTTGTCTGTCATAGCAAAAAGCTGAAAGTGGCCCAGTGAAGTCTTGGCTATCTCTAAAATTAGCAGCTTCCTGAGGTAGAGAGGAGGAGGAAACAGCGAGTTGTATGTTGGAATTTGGAAAGAAGTTGGAAGTTCTGTGGCATTGGGTTCAGAATTCCTACAGCAAAGACTAAAATTACCATCACATCAATGTTACCAGGATCTGCTGTGCTAAGGTTAAGGCAGGGTGAGGAAGGTTGGGGGAAGGAATATTGGTTAGTCAAAAAGCAAATTAAAAACTCCAGTGTAAGCTTTTTAAAAAAAAATATGGCTCTTTTTCTTGTTTTAAAAGCAACTTGAAAACTCCAGTGTAATCTTTTCTTTTATGATGGATCTTTATATTATCTTAACAGTATAAGTAGTGAACAGTGGCTAATCCGATAATGTCTAGCATAATGCTGTAGCTGTAAACTGCAGGGCAGATACCTACATCTAGTCGTCTTCATAGTGAGAGGGTAATTACCCAGTTCCTCTCTCTCTCTGTTTCTCCTCCACCCTTATCTCCTATATTCATATGTGTAAATTTACATGAGTATTCATGTACCTATATATTAATGTTTAGCTTGGGAATAGATTCTGTAAGTGAAGCAGCAGAATAACTCTTTGAAGATGTGAGCAACAGTCATGTTTTCTGGGTAAACCTGCTTAGCCATTTTAGCTGTGAGACAAGGAGTAACCTTTCTAGCTAGATGCCGTGCTGCTTCTCAAACAGTTCTGCTTTGAAAGTGAAACTGTCCCTAAGGGGTTAAGTATAGTAGTGTTCCTGATCTATGGCTCAGGGTTCAGGGAGCCCTGCAGTGCTGCTCCCAGCTGCAGTGTGCAGACTCAGCAGCTGAATTCCGGCTGGCCAGCGCAGCAATTTCTGTTTTCCTTGGAGCAGTTCAGGGCAGCCTGACAGCAGAGACCTTTGTAACTCTAAGGATTCAGATAAAGCCAACAAGTTTAAAAAAAAAAAATCAGGAAAGGCAAGGTTTAACAAAGTAGGGCTGCACAAAGTCCAGTTGCTTCAAGAGCTTCTAGCTGTGTCAACTTAAAGGAGCTTTGTTGGATTATATATTGAGTGCCTGATCTTGTTGCAGTGTAGGCTCGGTAAATGCTGAAGCCTTGTCCTCCCAGTCCCCATGGCATAGCTGTGATACTTCTCTAATCTTGATTTAATCTTTACATACATGTATATTCTACAACAAACTCAATGTTCTTCCAGCATTTACTATTTTGCTCACTGTCTGTGAAATCCTAATGCTGATCTGTTTAGTATCATGTATGGGAGAGTGCTCTACAGCGTTGATTTTTTCCCTTTGTTCTTGCTCTTCTTTGTGTGAGAGGCTGTCTCCCTGTTATACTTGTACTCAGAGCTGGAGGGCTTCGTCCTGTATATTTTTACAAATCTACAACAAATAACGCAAGGTGCTCTGTGAGGTATAAAGAACTTTTGAGAAAGAAATGGGCCTGCTTATGCTTTTCTGTGGGTGCTCAAAGGGCGTTTTAGATACACCGTTGTCTTCAGCTTTTCAGCTGCTTCGACTTGGGAACTTGGCCTGTGTAAATTGCAAAAGATAAATATATTGCTTCATACTGTACCCTTTTTTATATTTTTGCTACGTGTAAAGATAGCTGCAGAGATAAAGAAATCTTCCAGGAAGGTGATCCTGACTATATATAGTTTGCACATGAGAGTAGATTAGATGGTGGCTGTTTACTTCCTTAGCATTTTGAATCTAAGAATATTCCCCCTAAGCAAATTGGACGACTTATTTTATATACTCCCCACAGAGAGCCCTCAGCAGAGTTCAGCTGCTTTCCTCTACCAAGCATGTGTTGCATCATTTTGTGTTGCTGCCAGATAGATAGACTTCTGGAAGGAGAATCCTTGGTTGTGTAATTGCAAAGCTAGCTATTATGGCAGCTTTCCCTAGCATGCCTGCTGTCTCTGCACTGTGGGATAACCCTGTGGTACTGAAGAAATGTTTTCTAAAGAGCTGAGGCAGCGAGGAAGTGTAATTTCTCTCTATAGTTCTCTTAGGTATTCCTGATGTCCTGATGCTTTTCCTGACTAGAGCTAAGATTTTTAACAGCTAAGAAAGTTTACCAACACTTTTGAGGTTGGTGTCTTTCATGCCTTGTAAAGTTCTTTGTTATTCAGACACCTTGCTGACTTTTCTAAGCTGGTATCCAGTACCAATCTGAAGTGTACAAGCTGTTTTGAAACACTGTCACCACGCTTCATAGTGACAGTGTGTTGAATTCATTGTAGGCTAAGCCCATACTCATACAGTTTGCTTCTACATAGACATTTTCTGCTCTATAACTGTAGAGTTTTGTGCAGAAACCTGCGTTCACACAGTCTACAGGAGACTCAGGGACATCCTGAAAACATGGTTCACCGAGGCTCTGAGGTTCAGCACAGTAGCCAGCCTGTCCCTTGGGCTTATGTCTGTGTCACCCAAATGGAGCTATACTGGTTAATAGCATGTTTATTGAGTAGTCTGAAAAGATTTATCTGGCATGTATGTATGTGTGCTTCAGCTAGCTTCTCTCTTTTTAATGCACAACGAGCCCTGTCAGCATTCTCCCATGGTCCTGGCTTCAGGTGCCTTTGCTGAATCACCAAAGGCAAGACGGAAAGGGAACTAGCGCTAGAGGATCCTACAGCCCTGCCAGAGGAAAAGGGGACAGATAGTGAGCAGCAGATGTTCCCACCTTAAAACAGCCTTGATGGGGGAAGTTAGGTGTATAACCTAGGCCCCAAAGAGTTGTAGAGACTCAAGATTTGGCAGGCAACTTAAAAACTGTTGCGTCTTGATTGTCAGGCTCTTAAAACAGAATTTGAAGAGTCTATAAAGCCTGTTTATCTTCATTTTATGTGCCAATGATTTTTGTCCAGACATTGCACTGGAAGGAGAGCTAGCAGAAGGAATGAAGAACAGCCTGGGAGTGGGAGCAAAACCACAGTTTCCAGAGTCCCAGAAGCTGCATCAGAAAGAAAATACTGTGATTATTGTCAAACTGAAACCTTGTAAAAGACCTGGATGTTCTTTTTGGTGTTAGTAAAGTTGGATATTAGCCTTGCTGCCACTTCTTTTAGTTGCAGTTCTGCAGTATATCAGGCTGTTTATTTTTAGGAGGTATTTTTATGTTGTGGGTTTTGGTATCAAAAGCTGAAATCAGGGAATGCAGGGAGGAAGAGAAGAATGCATTTTTAGTAAGATGGTTTTCCTTTTTCTTTGGGGAAGAGGGAGAGTGTTTTCCTGCTTTGTATATCTTAAATGGTCAGAAAGTTTGCATCCACTTGGTATCAATTGCACATATATTTGTAATCAGCTTTGTCATCATACTGAATTGGCTGTGAATGCTCCAGGAGAAATGAGAGTCAAGTTTGAAGAAATAGGGTCCTGTTCTTCCCTGTTGTAGTCAGATGAAAAGACACATTGAGATGAATCATAAAGTCCAAATCAAGAAAAGACATTATGATTCAGATGATATCCCTCGGACTCTGCAAAATTCTGGAATAAGGCAGATCTTCAGTTTAACTAACAAAGGAACTACTTCTGAATTAAAGATGTCTTCAAAATCAAATGTATGATACATTTTTTGATTTGTTAGGCAGTTCTCCTTGCAGAAAATGGGCCAGGGTTTGGGCCTCCACTGGGTGAGATGCTTTATGATACTCAGGTCAGACACTTAAATTATATGCTTTTTCCCTTGGTTTCGTAAGATGGCATTTCCCGTGTGCTGTTCAGATGATCTCAATGGGCATCTCATTCCCACACTTCCCCTTTCCTTATTCTGTGCCTGCACAGAGTCTCCTTGGCCTCTGTTCAGAGCTTGTGTTTGGGACATTTGTTGTTACCAGCTAGAATGAGCAGCCTGTATTGGAGGGCAGTGCAGCTCATATTTGTGTATGAGATAGAATTATCTAGCAACAGTATTTTCTGTTGAATACTTTGTTACACCCACTCTACTGTTTTTAATGCTGCTAAATTCTCTGATCATGTATGTAAATCCCACCTTCAGGCATGCTCTTTAAAATTACATTAAGAATCCAGCTTACACTTAGCACAGAAATTCTTACCTGGAAGTACTTTCCTTAATCATTTAAAGCAGAAGATAGATTTTTTTTTTTCCCCCCCTTTTTTTTTAAAGGTGAAGTCTCAGTATAATATTAATTATAATGCATACATATGCACACATGCACACAGTGGAATTGCAATGTGTAAATAGAAACAAATAAATACAAAAGATCAAAGACTAAAAAGTAAGGATATGTACGTATAAAAGGACAGCTGGCAGCCAGCCCTGGAGCAGACTTGCTGCATCCTCGTGATACCAGGCTATCAGTCCTGTAGAAGGGAACCTATGAACATGAGAAGCTGTAGTATTAAACTTAAAACTTTCCGATACATGTTGCTGAGAATGACACTAATGTTCTGTTGAATTCTGAGGCACTTATCTCCATTTTAGCCCTTTTTTGGTTCTGTGCCAGGAGTCAGCAGTCACCAATCACCCGATAAAAATCTGCGAGCAGGTTATCAGTTCCTTGGGCACTGATGCATTCCACACCTCTTCTGCTTTCACAGCCAGATGCAACCTCAGCGAGGGTGTAATCGTTCCTCTGCTTCACTGGCTTGTGCTGACAGGTTTGCTCTGTGCGAGGCTGTCCTCAGTTTATTCTGGTCTCTCTTTCCTTCCAGGATGGCACGCTCTCTGAATGAGTGGCTGTGGCAGCATGAGTTCTGGCTGCCCCCAGGAATCACCTGGGAGGACATGCAAGAGTCTGAAGACGTCCATTACCCTCAGCCTCGTGATCTCCTGCTTAGTATCCCTTTTGCTTTAATCTTGGTTGTCATCCGATGTGCCTTTGAAAGGTAAGTTATTTAGTACTGTTTGGGGTTTTTTAGGGATAATGCTGGCAGTTTGGGTCCAAAAGCTGGCTTTATTGTCTGTGCCAATGTATGACTGAAGAGGTCCACAGAAACTCCAGGTCATAAAGTCTGCTGAGGTACATTTTTCAGCTCTTTCTTTCCAGCCCTGTGTACTGGCTAAAGAAGTGTGTTGAATATAGAACACAAACCCTACCCTTAAGGTCTAATTAAAAGCAATGTGGCTCTCTACACTTAAAACAGGTAGGCCCTAGATGAGGATTATGCTTGTGTTTTAGAAGGCAGACACGCTGTTTTGTGTTCTGTTGCACATTGCTTGCTGTTTCTGGGTCGAGTGCAGCAGAAAACACATTTAGACTACCCAAATACAGTTAAGTCTCCTTTATCTTGGGTAATGGGGATCTGGGGTATCGCACCTGACAGACAAGCCTGAGTAAGATGCGTTAGATTGGGCTGAGTCACCTGACCTCAGAATCAGCACTGCATAGCCACTCAAATGTGTGTATTTCACTGACCACTGCTCTGGGGTCAGGAGTGTCATTTCCTTGGGAGTGCCATGTAGAGACATTTGTAGCTGCTTCTTTCTGGCCAGAGCCGTTTGAGTGTTTTGCATATTACTCTTCAGCGCAGAAGATTTGGGGGTTATGGCAAAGGCATAGCTAGAAATCCTGCAGGGTTCATTGACTCTGAGTTTCATAAAGGTCCTGAGCTCATGCTGTTGCTTTATGCAGTTTAGTCAATAGTTAGTGTGGTCTGCAACACAACATGATTTGCTGGTGGATAACTGATATTTACCATAGTGTCAGTCATTGTCAAGACTGCAGAGTAAATCCTTGAATACTTTTCGAAGTGGTCTTCACTGGATTGAAAAAACCGTATTCCTAGTTGCTGATCAAAGAGGTAATCTTTTGAAATAGTTTAGTCAAATCTACAGTGGTTTTAAGCTTAGAAAGACGGGAAGAAAGACAATTAAAATGTTTTTGTCGTCTTTTTTAAAAAAGTGGCTGCACAAGAAAATGGAAGCAGACCTTTGTAGGCTAGAAAGAAGTTTCTTTTCCAGATTCTCTGTGATACAAGGACAACTTGGAAAAGTTTATAGAAGTTGAAATGATTTGGAGCTCTGCTGTGAGAATGTTTTTAATAAAAAAAAAATTATAGCCAGTATTTTTATGTAAATACAAATGCGTGAATGATTCTTTAAATAATCATTTTGTGATGATACAAAATTGGACTCCAAATCTCTTCTTTGTAAACAATATGTTTAGTGTGCATTCCATAAATTCCATGGATTTTATCCTGTACTTTCCTGGGGACATAGGTGTCTCTGTTACCTCCACTGATGTGGGAACCAAGGTGCTGTAGGTAACCATTAAAACACAAGTGACTCACATTTCTTCCTTGCTGATCTGCAAGACATGGCTGGATACAGTACTCCTTCAGGTAGGCACTGTCAGTCGGTGACCTGGACACATTTGCAATGCGAAGCTGGAGATTAGCCCCCATGTCCTGCATTGACTAGGACTGTCCAGTTCCAGGGTCCCCAGTACAAGACATGAACAGGAAGAAGAAGGAGCCAAACTCTTCTCCATGGTGCCTGGTGACAGGGCAAGAGGCAATGGGCACAAATGGAAATGCGTGATACTCCATCTGAACATAAGAAAATGCTTTTTTTACTGTGGGGGTGGTCAAACATTGGAACAGGTTCCCCAGAGGGGGAGTGGAGTCTCCGTCTGTGGAGACAGTCGAAACCCAGCTGGACACAGCCTTCCACAGCCTGCTGTAGCTGACCCTGCTTGAGCAGCAGAGGTGGGGTGGATGGTCTCCAGAGATCCCTTTCAGCATCGATTCTGTGATTCTGTGACTCTGTCCCTTTATTCCCCTTCCTCTTGCCACACCACTCCCAGTCAATCTAAATATCTTCTCCATCTGGTTTAAGATGCCAATGGCCAGGTAAAAAGATTTTTTTCTTTCCCATCCAAGCGCTGCCTCAGCTGGGAGAGTTTCCACAGGCCTCATCCTACTCATTAATTTTAAAGCTGTTTTGATTCACAAACTTCATTAAATAAAAGCTGCTTGTCACACCCTTAAAAAGAGATAGTATCACAAGCCCATTTTACTGGTCCAGGAAACCTATAATTATACCACTATCTTACCTATGCCAATTACAAGCCAGTGTTCTGAGCTGTATTCTTGTTTGTCCTAACTCTCTGCAGTCATTTATTTCAGCATGACATTTTCTCATTCTCAATCATTACTGTTTCACATTCAGTTCATCCTGGAGAAGAAAGCTTCCCCTAATGAACGGGAGGTATGAGTCAAGTCTTATGTTGCTCCGTTACCTTGTGTGTACAGTGGCACTAGCCCTGTTTAAAATAATTTGCACAAAGTTTGAGAATTGCAGACTGAAAGGATGTGTGTGTTATTTCTCATTCTCCGTGTAGATGGCCTTGACTTTGTAGCTTTGTACATCTGGTCTGTGGGTCAAAATGAGTGTATGTAACTAGTATGCAAGTTTGGTTTTGGTGGCTTGCTTGGCTTCTGGCAATTTATTCTACCCTCACCTATTACTTGTAACTGTGCATTGGGTGCAAAGTCGTTTTTTCTCTAGATACACTCTGTGTTCCCGGTGGTGCCTACTCTGGAATTTCAGAAATGCTGTAATGTGTTCATGTCACTTATCTGTGACAGAACTCCAGAAAAATCCATCGTATTGAGAAGTCGTGGCAGTCCAGTGAAGTTCCCACTGACTGGAAAAGGGAAAACATAACCCCCATTTTTAAAAAGGGAAAAAAGGAAGACCCGGGGAACTACAGGCCAGTCAGTCTCACCTCTGTGCCTGGGAAGATCATGGAGCAGATCCTCCTGGAAGCTATGCTAAGGCACATGGAGGACAGGGAGGTGATT